AAGTGTGGGCCATTTCAAGCACAAAGGAAGTCAGCAGACTTAGGTGCTACAGAGCAAAAAGAATGAGATAGTCACTGGGTTTAACACCTAGAAGTCATTGTTGACTTTTAAAGCCATCCATGACAGCAACTGGACAATGTGTATCAAGAATCAGGAAAATTGTATACTTTTTACCCCAATAATTCCACTTTTAGAAATCATGCCAAAGGAAATCATTTTCAAGTTGTACAAGTTAGCTGCATAAAAAGAGATTCATTGCAGTTATTTGGAAGAGAGGAGAATGGAAATAGTCTAAATGCTCTGCCTTTAATGTTCATTTAATGATATATTAGTTATTTTTAAAGTATAAAGTCATCTTTTAAATATTATTTCCAACTAAAAGGAGTAAGGCTCCTTAAAGAAAATGACTTTTTATAGGCCTGCAGTAGGGAAAGCACAATTTGAGTCTCCTGTGTGACTCTAATTTGAATATCTTGTGTGGCAAAACAAATGAAAGTTTAAAGATTGGTGGGACAAGTAAGTCTAAAGGAAGCAGAAGTCTCTGGAAAGACTCTATGGGTCAAATGACAATTTAAACATCAAAAAGAATGGCAGTAATAGATTATGTCACATTCAGTGAAAAATAATTGAGAGGCCACGTAAATGAGAGAGAAAGAAAGAAGGGCAAGTGGATGGAAAAGTTAAAAATGAAAAAAGGAAGGAGAAAAAGGAAGATCTCCTCCTTTACAGTAGACAGCCACATAGTGATTGCAGAGGAAATGACAAAATTAGAGCATCGCCACTTTTTAGTGCCCAGTGTAAGAACAAATGGAAGCAGAGATTATCAATGGGAGCCAAAAACACTGAGTAAAATCTTAGGAGCAAATAATCAAGAGGCCTTAGGTTATCACACTACCACTTACTTGGAGTTGTAAAGTGGTGAGATCTGATGGACTCCAACTTAGCCAATGATGGAAACCAGTATTAAAGGGAAAAGTTTTCACTATTGGCCTGTCAGTGTGACATACTAGGAAGTCTACAAGACCCTCTCTGTAGTAGTCTTATTGAAAATGTTTAACCTGAATCTAATCATGAAGAAGCTAAAGGAAAATCCAGAATGCAGAACATTCTGTACTGTCCTGAATGCTTCAAATCTATCAAGGTCATAAAAAACAAACTAGCAAGAAAAAAATGAGGTGTTGTCGAAAAATAAAAAAAAAAAAAAAGAAAAGAAACAACCATGCAATGGAGGAATTTTGAAAAAGATGTATTTATTTTTGCATACAGAACTAGGGTACAGGCCAGGGTGGGGGGCAGGTGAGAGGATTCACCAGAGACAGAGTAGAGTGATGAAGTACACTTAGGTTATAGCAGTGGGCGAGTCAGGAGAGGTCTGCCATGCCATGTAGGTCACCTCCCTGATGGGGGATAGAACTCAGTGCTGCAGTGGCTGTGATAGCTTCATAGTGCTACGCTTTACCCCATTGTGCCATCAGGAAGGGCCCGATTTCTATTGAAGTATTTAGCACTTAGGAGTTATGATATTTGCAACTTGCTTAAACTGGTTAAGGGGGATAAAGTGATTATGACACAATTTTTAAATGTAGTGAATCTACATGATAGATATTCAGATTTCCATTGTACTTCTTTTGAGTATTTTTTGTAGGTTTGAATTTTTTTTTAAGATTTATTTATTTATACAGAACTGGGGTACAGGCCAGAGATGCAGAGGGTGAGAGGACTCACCAGAGAGAGCGGGGAGCAGAACAGGCAGATCGACAAAGTACAGTGCTGAGGGGAGCAGTGGGCGGGTCAAGAGGGGTCTGCCACACCATGTGGATCTCCTCCAGGCAGGTGGGGATCAAACTCATGCGGAAGCGGCTTAAGCCTCTCAGTGCAGTGCTTTCACCTGCTGTGCCACCAGGGAGGGCCCGTAGGTTTGAATATTTTTAATATAATATTTAATGTTAGAAGGAAATAAAGCTTACATACAGAAATGGGAAAATTATGCAATGTTAAGTGAAAAAATAGGGTATAAAGCTGTGTCTATAACAATTATAGCTATTTAAAAATAAGAGCAAGAGAAATGATCCTTATTCATTCAGCATTAAGCTCCAACCACATAACAGCCTCTCCACTGGCTAGGAGCACACCCGCTCCCCTTCAGAATCCTGCTTCTATTGTGTGATGTTTAACATGTCAGACTTGGTATCTGGCAAACTCACCAAGTCTCTGAGGGAGCCTTGCTGTGACAGCTTCACCTCCGTATCCTTGGTTCCTAGCAAATTGTCTAGGCCCCCCCGCCCATAAGGTACTCAACAATACGTGCTTCCAGAAGCCCACACTCCAATGGGGGTGGAAAGTATATAAGCAGGTAATTTAAAAAAGAGTAAGTGCATGCTTACTTTTAATAAGTAATTATTTCTAATAATCAAGACCTAAGTACCTCAAAATAAGTAAGTGGATCAAGAAGATGTGGTACATGCATATAATGGAATACTACTCACAGTCAAAACCAAAATAAACTCAAGCCATTTGGGACAACATGGATGGAGCTGAAAGGGATAATGCTTAGTAAAATAAGCCAGAAGGAGGAAGACAAATACCAGATGGTGCCACTTAGAGGTGGAATAAAGAAAACCAATCAAAGGGTCAGACAAAGACAAACTTTAAAATGAACCCTTGAAAGCTGACCATAGATCTGAGACAACCAAGAGGGGAGGTGGCAGGAGAAGGGTTGGATGAGGGGTGAGAATCAGGGGAAGCACAATGGACACGGTGAGGACTATGAGTTTGGTTGTAGGTGAGCTACCATGACGACACCTGAGGGAAGAAACCCTATGTTGAAAAAATTTTAACAAGTATGGAAAACAATGATGTTTCATGAATAAAAGAATAAAATATACAAGAATAAACAAATCAGAAACAAAAAAAATTTGTGCTACACACACAGTGTTACAGATTTTAAATTATCATTTAAACTCTGCCTTTATGATATCCCCCCCTTCCTCACCTAACTTTATTTCCTACTCTTCTCCACTATGAATCTTCCCCTTCTTTATGGCATGCTGGTTCCTACCTCACTGCTTTCACTCAATTCACACTGACCCCTAGGTGGTATGACCTTTCATCCCTTTCCTTCATTGTTTAAATTCTGTCCCCTAGGTTTACCTCCTCCAGGAAGCCTGCCATCTTTTGTGCAGGCTTGAGTGAGTCCTTTCCTCTGCATTGTCAGCAGCTTAACTCCATACTTACTAAACATGTGCTTTCATTTCACCCCTTGTCAGCATTTCATTTTTCAAAGCTTATTTGGTGTTACCATCTCCTAATCCTCACACTAATCACCATGCCCTTTACAAATATAAGGAAAGCGAGAATCAGTGGTATTGAGTATCTTGCCCAGAAATCTAATTAGAGTATACAACTGTTGGATTCCTGAGTTAGACACAGGGTGATTGCTGGGACCCTCCAATATGGATTAATTGATCCATTCTCTATGTCCAGTTTTGCATTCTTAGTCAAGTTTGAAACAGGACATTTAAAAAATGTGCACATTATTATTTTCTCTATTAAAGTTCATGAAGTTCAGCACAATGTCAAGTTTCTCCTACAGCCCTATTACTCAAAGTGTAGGCAGGGGACCAGAAGCTCCTGTATCACCTCAGAGACTGTTAGAACTACAGCCTGATATCCTATTCTACTAGGTCTATAGAATCAGAAATCGCAACTTGACATTTTTTGTGTTCACACTGAAGTCTGAGAAGCACTGTTCAATAACACCAACTAGAATATGTACAAAGCAAAGAGCCAACAGTTATTTTGAGACCTGGGACACTGAGAATCCTAAAGAAGTTGCTTTTTTGTCATGACACCTACCTCTACTCCAGCTTTGGACCCAATTCCTTTTGGGGTCTCACGTTGTTCTTTGCTCCCACACAAAGCATAAATGAGCCTAAAAATGGTGAACACAGACAGTATTCAGGGGGGTGTCGAAATGAAGCTGCCACCTTCTCTTCAGGGCAAAAAGCAAATTCTTGGAGTCAAATTTAGAGTTACATTTCTAGAGAGAACTAGGCAAGAATGCCTATAATTTGAGCATCTCCAGAAGGATAAGGGTTTTGTGCTACATGGGAACTGTTCCCAGACTTGATTTATTATTGACTTGTCTGTTTCTATTCTGTCACTAATCTGATTGACAATGAAACCCTGAATATGACTCGCAGGGATTCCTGCGTGAGTGGGAGCTGCGGGGAGGGCCCTTCAGCCTGCTCGGGGCAGGTGCGCCTGCGAGAGGGAGGTGTCTGTGAAGGACTGTTTGCCTGAGTAGTGTGTGGAAACGACACGGGAGATGTGGGTGTCTCTAGGGAATTGATTGTCTGTGATGTGAGATGTGTCTGTCTGGATTATGAAGCAGTGTGGGTTTGGGTTTGTATGGTGCAAGTCGTTGGACTGGAGGAGGTAGGTGGGGTTTCCTATGTAACAGGAGGGGGGGGAGGGTTGATACACACACAGACACAGCTAACCAAACAGCTCCTTTTCTCACCCTTCTTAGTTTTTCCTCCTAGAGTACTATCGCTATTGAGAGACTTGGGAGGCGGAGATTGGAGGAGAGAAGCGGAGGGCACTGGAGAACCAAGAACCTAGGGGTCTGGAAGCTCCCTTTTCGGCTTTGCGCGCAAGCTGGTAACTGGGACTGAGAAACAGATGCGGACAGGTGTGCCCCCAAGGGGCACGCGAGGCGACACGTGGAGGATTCACCTTCAGTCCCGGAGTTGCATCCCCAGGCCTGGGGTCGCCCATCCACTTCTCCTGAGTCTGCACGGGATAGAAGCCTGCGCCCCTTCTCTTCTCTGTCGGGGCGGGTAGAGGCAGACCCAGCTAGCGAGCGGAACCCCGCCCCTCCCTTGTTACTGAAGAGCCCCGCCCCCTCCCGCCGCCCGGCGGAGCTCCGCCCCCTCCCCGCTCCCGCCTCCGCCCCCCGCCCCGGCACCGCGCTCCCCTTGCTCAGTCTTGCTGGCCCCATGTTACTGAGCGGAGCTCCTCCTGCGGGCTCCGGCCCCGGGCCGCGGGCGCAGGGGAGCGCTGGGGGCGGCCCAGGGGGGTCTCGTCGAGGAACTGGGGGTGCAGGGCCTGGCCCTGGAGGGGGCGGCAGCGGTGGAGTGGCCAAGTGGCTCCGGGAGCACCTGGGCTTCCGCGGGGGGAGCGGCGGCGGAGGTGGGGGTAAGCCGGCGCCCCCAGAGCCCGACTACCGACCCTCCGCACCATCCTCGGCGGCGCCCCCCGCGCCGCCCCCGGACATCCTCGCAGCTTACCGGCTGCAGAGGGAGCGCGACTTCGAAGACCCCTACTCTGGGGGGCCGTCTGCCTCCGCTGCCCTAGCCACCCCTTCGGTCCCCGGCCCCACGCCGCCCCCACGGCATGGCTCGCCCCCACACCGCCTTATTCGAGTTGAGACCCCAGGCCCCCCGGCACCCCCTCCGGAGGAGCGGATCCCAGGACCCCCAGCCAGCAGCGACAGGGTGAGTGTCGCGCCGGGAGGGGTTGGGGAGCGCAGGAGAGGTGGTCGGAGGTCTGGGGCTTTTGAGAGGGACAAAGGTGGCCTGGCCCAGCCAGGCCTCTCTGTGTCACGGTTCCAGGAGGACACAATCTTAGTCCCTGACCCCAGGGCTGGAAGCCTTCTTCCACCTTTGTTCAGATTCTCGACCGACTAATATGGGACTTGTGCCCCAAACTCTCCCTCTATTCCCTAATATCGCTCTAGGACTGGTGACCCTCCCCCTCCTGGTTTCTGCTCTCTTCATCGCAGCACCCCCCCACCTCCGCTCTACCCAGTCCCCAACCTAATCAGGGAACCTCTTTCTAACGGTATTTGAGATGCCCCCACCCCTACTGGTTTATAGCTTTCTGCCCTCTGGGAGCAGCATTTCGCTGCCCTTTGATCTCTGACCCCTCCCCTCCCTCCGAAGAAGAGACTGCACAAAGCTCAGCTCCTCCTCCCCAGGGAGCGCAAGCATTCTTGCAGGTGCTGAAGCCCCAGGAAAAAGGTGAAGGCTTGGGTTTCTCTCTGTGGACACAGCAGGAGCTGCCCTTCGCCTTAACGGGCGGGTGAACTGTTTTCTCAAGAAGACTGAACCGGCAGCTCTTCTCTAAGGGTGTTGACCACTGAAGTCCAAGCAGGCCCATTCCTGCATCCTTCCCTTTTTCTTGCCCCTCCACCCCAGGTATGGGGATAGTGCTTGAGACCTGTTGCCTAGAGGGGCTCAGGGTCTGAACCCACTCCTCTTCTTTTGGCCTTCTCTTCCCTGGATTCATTCTGAAGGAGACTATAGCATTTTGTGGATTGCAGACCTGGGGTACAAGGAACAGCTGGGCTTTCACTGTTCCAAAGAACATTCATCTTGCTTAGAGCAGACAAGACACTTCACCTCAACCCCAGTTCACCTGTATCCTCCATGACAGCTGAAAGCCATCCCCAGATTCCTCTTGCCCTAAATTCTATGACATGACTCTTCGGGCCACCCTGTCTTTGTTGTCTGTCTCTACTTACCCCTGGGAGTTTCTCTCTTGGGGCTCACTCCCCTCTTCTCAGCAGAGAACACAGATTTATTTGATTGGAGAGCATAGTTGCTCTCTGAATCCCAATCTGTAGGCTTCAGGCTTGAGGTTTTCAGCTAAAAGATCCTGATGTCATGAATAATAGAAATGTGTCAGGGTTAGGGCAGACGTCTCAAAAATGTGCGTTATTTCCCCTATTGTTCCTGTCATGAAGGCATGATTGCCAGTCCTGAGCCAGGAGCCTAGGCCTGCAGAAGATTCAGGGGAGCTCTCCTCCAAGGCTTTGCTTTCTTCGCCTTTCCTTAGGATCTTCTCTTTCCTGATTGCCCCCGGATATTGGGTAATGGTGTTGGTGACCATGAAGCAGCAAGTCCAGTAGACCAAGTAGTGTCTCTTCCCTGACACTGCCTGTTGGCACATGGGCATGAGCTGTCCCTAGCCCTCATCTTAGATTGACTTAACAGGCTGCCCTTAAAGCCAGGAATGGTGACTGATCATTTCCAGGGTCAGAGACTGCCCTAACTAGAGGTCCCTCTTGCGCATTGCCCCATGGAAACCCCAAGAAACGGACTGTGCCCATACAACCATTAGGAGACCTGTAGCCCCTTGCTATAGGCAGGCATCCATGCCTCACCCTGGGTGGGCCCTGTGATCTGTGGGCTCTTAAGACCTGGGGGTCAAGAAGTGTCTGATCCTTTGTCAGACACTGTCCCTGAAGGTCAGCTTTCAGGACAGGAATGAAACCCAGCAGGAACTCCCAGGGGGCATACAATCTGTTTTCTTCAGTGGTTGTCATAAGAGGGACACAAAGTCTCTTCTAACTGCCCAGGGACATTGTCTCTGTGAATCCTGTCCTGAGCCTTCTCCTTATTCAGAGAACACTACCCACCCCTTTAGAAACACAGTTTGGGGTATCCCAGAGTCTTCTCATAGAAAGGGCCTAGACTAGGTACCTGAGCTCCTCACCCTAAACCCAAGTACCAGGACATCTCTCAAGCCTATTGGGTGCATGTGCTGACAGCTTTCATTTGGAGATGCTGCTCCTGGCCTGGGAGACTGCTGAGCCACTGTTTCTGTCTGGTGTGGCTCCTTTTCTCCCTATAATCTGTCCCACCTCCTCTTAGCTCTGGCAGGCCTTTTGGCTTATTGCTTTTTGGGTTACCTCCTGAGGTAAAACGGTGACTCAGGACCAGGATATGTTGGGCTGACCTCTCCCCCATCTTCTGGATCCCTTTGGCTGGTGATGGGAGGGTCAGACCCCTTGAGGGGGGCTGGGTCAAGAACTTTGATGAAATGGGTGGAAATGCTTCTATGATGAGAGCTTGAGGGGAAATGAGGACTGTAAGTATGGGGCAGACCCTGAGAGGCCTGGGGCTCAGAGCCATTAGCCTTCTCCCTATGCAGGACTCTTACCTCGTGGTCCACCCAGAGACCCACTGCTGCAGTTGGCAGGGACATGAGGGTGACCATCTGGGCAGGCCTGTCAAGGCAGGTGTGGGAGCAGCAGGAGCCGCACCCTGTACCAGGCAGGCAGGCCTTGCCATCTGGCCACAGGAAGAACCCCCTTACAGTGCAGGGCCCTGTCAAACTGCCAGGCCACACTTTGGCAGAGGGGTTAGAGATTCAGTCTTTCTCTTGCATTCCTCCCTTTTCTCAGATCTTCATTAGTAAATAACGTGGTCTAATTAGGAAAGGGGGATGGATAGGGGAAGAGCCCTAATGGGATGAAGCTCTGAGCTGCCTGTGACCATCTGCACAGTGTGCTCTTTGCCTCCATCATGCCGTGTGTGTGTGTGTGTGTGTGTGTGTGTGTGTGTGTGAGAGAGAGAGAGAGAGAGAGAGAGAGAGAGAGAAAGAGAAAGAAGCAGACAGGGATGATGTAAACATTAAGACAGTCAGGCACCTTGTGAATTGAATCTGGGCTCTTACTCTTAAGCTTGTGGATGGGTTTCTAGGGTTCATGAACCTCCAGAAATTGAGTGAAGATATTTGGATGTATGAGCATTTATCTGCGGGGAAGCTCCCAACTGACGGATTCTCATGGGGTTTCACAGGGCCCAAAATATTAAGAACTTTTAAAAATAGATATACCTCAGAGATGGTATCCACGTGGGCTTGGATCTTCCAGGCCCAAATTTGGAAACAAGAGAACAGACAGGCAGGAAGAGGAAAGTGAAGGAGACATTCAGGGTGTCTGAAGTCCGAGGAAGACATGGCTTTCCCAGGATTGGGAGGTGCTGCATTAAGACCCTCAGCAGTGCTAATGCACCATTCAATAACTCTGGTCTGTTCTCTGGAAGGCACTCACCACCCAGAGGACCTAGTCCTTGCCTTCTCTGAGTTTAATTTTACACCTGTGACTTCCAGAGTCTGGAGGTCTGATCTGTTCATCTTACTCATGATTTCCAGTGAATGTTGAAGGAGAAAGAAAGCCCTGGGGGAGGGAAGGTGGAGAGGAATTGAGAAGGGTCCTTGTCAGGGGATCTTTGCAGACTAGCTAGCTCTCTTAACCCTTTGTTGGCCATCTGTGCTGCTGTTAGTGCCTAGAGTATGGCTGAGGCCTGCCGCCACCATGGGCTAGGTAGCCAGCCCCTCTACCCTGCACAGCGCTACTTCCTCTCACTGTGGTGCTTATATCCTCTGGAAAACATCTGCAACTTGTTGGCTTCACCAGTGACTCAGTGACACCTAGAGTCCTGGTGCTCCACCTGTTAAAGATGGAAAAAGTTGGGACCCTGTGACCATGGACCGGAACAACTGACTGGCTGAGCAAGCCTGGCTGGAGCCTGGGGCTTGGAGGGATACCTGCTGCCCACTCCAGTGCCCCTCACCATAAAAGCAGTGTGATGTCTGAGAAGAGAGGCAGGGCCCAAACACTGCATGTGGTGAGCCTGTGTCAACAAAGCCTGGGCTACAGCTACCGGGCTTCAGAGCATCCCCAGGTGCTGGACTCTTTTGGAGCTTGTTTCATGTCTGACCCTGAGAGCTTCTGGAGAATTCAGGGATTTGTTCTTTTTTTTTTTTTCTAATATTTATTCATTTATGCTTACAAGAACTGCTGGGGTACAGGCTATAGGTGTGGGGCGGTGAGAGGAGACAGAGTGGGGAGCAGAACAGGCAGATTAACTGAAATACACTGCTGAGGGGAGCAGCGGACTGGTCAGGAGAGGTCTGCCATGCAATGTGGGTCACCACCCTGGCTGGAAATCGAACTCTGGCTGCAGACAACTTCATAGTGCTGCGCTTCAACCATTTCACCACCAGGGAGGGCCTGGTTTTGGTCTTTTTGTCTTTATAACATAATGGTGGGTATCTGCTAAGCTTCTACTTTGTATCTGGTACCATTCTGAAGCAGCTGACATGTTTTAGACCAGTTGATCCTTACTAACAACCTTACAAGGAGAATCTCTTAGCCTCCCTGGTTCTATAGTGAGACTCAAACACAGGAATGTGGGGTCTTGCTTACTTGGTTTCACATCTAGTCAGTAGAACGGAGGTTCACAGCCAAGCAGGCTGCCTCTAGACACTGTCAGTACCTGCCTGGACTTTTGCACCTACTGAGAGGAGCCTCACAGAGAGAAGATGTTCACCAAGCATTTTCTAATGAACAGGGAAGGGAGACTTTTCGAAAGGCGTGAGTTCTGTGCTGAGTTCACCATCTTCTGGAGGCTAAAGGCCAATACTTATGAGTCAGTCCTGATGTAGCCACAGGATTAAGATACTTTATAAGGGTCTTAAAAGAGCTGGTGGCATCAATTGCATATGTGTGATGTTTGAATGTTTTACAAGCAAGGCATTTCTTTGTAATTAGCAAAGAGTAATAACTAGTGTGTTTCACGTTGAAGGTGTTTCCTGGCAAGTAAAATTAGGAGGGGCACTCCAATAAGTGGCAACAGAGGGTACAAAGAATTTGACCTTGGAGAAGGTAAAAGGTGTGCATTTCCCAAACTGATAGACTTTCAGTGGAAAAGGGCTTTTACTGTTAAATATTTTAGAGAAATGCTGAATAGAGAATCCAGGGATTTGGCCTTTCTGTTCTTCTCCCCACTCTGACTCTGGTGAATCCTCTCACTCTCCCATACCCCTGGCTTGTACCCCAGTTCTTGTATGCATGAATGGATAAATCTTTAAAAAAAAATTAGACTGGTCTCTTTGAACTCAGGGTCCTTAACATGCTAATGTGTATTTTAAATCTTCAAATAGAGAAATGAAGATGCTGCATCTTCAGTTTTCTGCATGATCTATGGCAGGTCACTGAGAGTCCAGAAACCAAGCCTCAGCCTTACCTCTGCTGTTGACAAACTGGACAAGCACCTAACATCTAAGGCCTAATGTCTGAGTATAAGAGATTCTCTTCAGAGCTAACATTTATTGAACACTGACTCTGAGCCCTCTTCTAGGCTAAGCAGTTTTACAGTTATTGTCCTCTTTCCAGCCCTATCTATAGCATACATATTAAAAAGCAAAAACAAAAAAACCAGGCTTCTAGACACTAAATGCAATCTAAAGAAGTGGAGGATAGCCCTCCCTAGTGGTGCATGGGGCTAAAGCGCAGCAATACAAGTGAGCAAGCCACAGCTTCTTCAGTTCGAGTTTGATCCCAGGGGATGGCGGGGGAGGGTGGGGGTGGGGGTGGGCAAGGCACCCCCAGGTGACCCATATGGTGCAGCAAACCACTCCTGTCTTTCCCACTCTCCCCTCAGCAGTATACTTCATTGATCTGCCTGTTCTCTCTCCACTCTGTCTCCAGTGAATCCTCTCACCTCCCCTGCACCCCAGTTTTGTATGCATAAATAAATAAATCTTTAAAAAAAGAAAGAAAGAAATGGAGGAAGAAGACAGTAGTAGACTTCAGGGACCTCGCCGAGCCCAAATCCTGTGATGTATTTGGTCCCCTTTGCTTCCCCTGGATTCACAAGCCCCATGGATGGGGCTGGGAACTTTTAGCACAGCCCAGCTGCAGAAGGTGAGTCTGTCAGTAATCCTGACAGAGGCTTGGGCAGGAAGGCGTGAAAGCATCACTGCTTCTCTGGGAACGGCATTGTCCAGTTGGAAAATGACAAGAGCAGGGTCCTGAAGGCATCCTGCTGGATGGCAGGAGGGGAGGAAGACCTGGGGGCCCTCTGGGAAGCAGTTCCTACCTGCTAGTTTGGAAATGTTTCAGCAGCATTCTGACTCCACCACAGCTCTGGTCTTAGGTGCCTTCCCTTCAGTTCCTTCCTTCTGCCCTTAGCCAGAGGCCTTGAGCCCTGTTCTCACATCATTTCTCTTGCTGCTTGTTTAGAGTTAGTGTAAGTGGAGATCTGAGAATCAGTGTCATATCAGAAGATGGAGATTCTGGGGAGAAGGAGGTCTTGCAGATCCAGTGAATGTATTGAGCACCTACTGTATGATACTGTATGGGGCCATAACCAAATTGAGAAAGGGCAAAGATGTCAGAAGCTTGCAGGCTTAGCTTCCCTCACTGAGGAGTTTTGCCTCCTCACATCCCAGGGAAGATGTCTCTGATTGGGGTCATAAGTGCCCCGGGCACGTACCATCCTGCCAGCCTTCCCAGCAGGCGGCTCCTGATTCCTAACCCCTGTGGGTGGTTCCTCTAGGAGCCCCAGGGAGTGGGGCTGGGGCTTCCTGGAGCAGGGTGTGGAGCCAGGAATGGAACAGAGAAGCCATTGAGCTGCCCACAGAGCTGCCACCTGGGTGCCCACGGGCATTGCAGGCTGGCGCTGGGGAGGCCCACGCCAGCCTGGGAGGGGTCGCAGCTCTGGGCACCAACCCAGGACTCCGCTGGGAAAGGTGCTGTGTACAGCTCTGACCCTATGGACTGACATTGTATGGGAAGGGCCTGGGGCCCGATGGTGGTGGAAGGGCCAGGTCTTGGGCCAGATGCTTTGCTCACAAAGCAGGGTCTAATCCCCACCCCATGACCCCTGCCCCACCCGAATTCATGCTTCCTCCCTCTTCTGAACAAGGAAGAGTGCTTCCTTTGTCTACTCTTTTGTTTTATATAAACTGAGTTAAAAGATATTTACTGGACACTTTCAGGCACTCGGGATTTGATAGTAAAAATGGTTTCTGCCTTCAGGAAGCTCACAGTCTGCAAGAAATGCAATAAAACAAGGTTTACTATACAATATGTTGATGACTTAGCAGAGGCACCTAACCAGACCTGGGGGGAGAATGGAAAGGCTCTCTGAAGAAATACAATAATCTCATCCAAGCAAAGGGGAAAACTTTGAGGTAAGAAAGAGCATAGAGCTTTAAGATAACAAAGTAACCTAAGGTAAATACAAAGAAACTAAAGAAAGTAGAATCTTTTAAACTGCTTTAACTTTGAACGTTCTTGCTGGCAAGGTGAAGAGCCATTGCAAGATTTAAGGATAGCATGACGATTGATTCATGTACTGTTGAGTAGCTGCCACAGATGAAATAGAGGCTGACCAGAATTTCTCGTGGGGTTGGCTCCAGAGCCCCCTTGGTCAGGAAGGTGAATCTGTGGGTGCCAGTTGCCTGCAAGAAAGCATCTTGAAGTGAGTGGATTTCTTATTATTTGCTTTATGGAAGAAGGAGGTTGAGAGTTAGAGGGCTATGAGGGGAGCTAAGCTGTGAACTAGTGGAAACAGTTTTCTGGCGTTTACTGTGATTCAGGTGCTAATTGGAGCTGGAGAGACAAAAATGACAATGAGCCATATCTGACTGATCCAGTGTTGGTGCAGGGGTTATATGAGAAGGTGGTTTTCTTAGGCATAGGCAGGATTCTAGGGAGATCTAGGAGTTGACTGGAACAAGGTGGAGCGAGGTGAAGAGCTGACATGGTGGGTGCTGTCAGGATATGCTTCAGACCCCCAGAGGGTTTTAGGGGGCATGGACATTCAAGATTGGGGGTGTGAGGGGGAGTGTGGGTGTGGTTTGTAGGAATTTCTAAGGTAAGGACATTCCTTTCTCCATTTCTCCCCTGCTGGCATACCAGATACACTAACCCAAGGAAGGGGTGAACCCAGGTCACCCCACTGCCTCCCTGTCCACAAGCTCCCACAGTCCTGATCTGGCCCAGAACCAAGGCCTATACCACAACTGGGGAAAAGACAAAAGTGTCTCTTCCCCGTGCTGCAGGCCTGGAACCACTTCCCATCAACACCTGTCAACCCAGGGGTGCAGTGTTCCCCTGAGGTGCTGGCAGCCCTGGTGGCCTGGGCTCTGGCTCCTCCAGGAGCCTGTGCCCAGCTGATAGAAAGGCCCTATTGTCCTCAGCTGTACCCCGCCCAACCACCTTGAGCTTCTCTGCAGGGTGTGTGGCTTGTGGTTTGCTTGGCCTTGACTGAGAACAGGAAAGAGGTGGTATGTGTCACTTGTATGGGAAAAGGGGCAACATGAGACATGGAGGGCCAAGAGAGGCCTTTCCTGTCTCTGTCCTCTGAAGTGATTTTAGCAGAGCCCAGGTCTAGGCTTCTTGCAGGACTGTCCTAAGGTGGTCTCTCAGCCCCAAGGCAACCAAGATGCTCTGTGGCTGACAGCATAACTTTGGCACAAGAGACACGGCTCTAACCCTTGTTTCTGCACTTTCGTGGACTGGTCTTGGGCATGTTGTTCCCTAATTGTTGTAAGTCTCCATTTCCTTAAAATGGGAGTAAACTAGACACTGTGATGGTTGTTTTAAGGATAATCCAGCAGAGCCTTGCTAAAAGTTAAGGCCTCAGCTTTTCCTTCTTTGATGGTCAGCAAATATTAATTTGTTCAGCATCTGGGAACATGCTGGCATGCACAGACTAAGCAATCTTCCAGTCATCTCACTTTTCCCTGCTTGCTCTTTGAGCCCCTGTAGCACCTTTGTAACCAGTTCTCTGAATTACTTCCCTCTGTTAAACCACCTCGTGTGGTGGTTTGTAGGCCTTTGTCCTGCCTGACTGAGGCAGGCCATTAAGCCCAGGGCCTCATCTTGGCCACTTAACCTAGAGGATGCTGGGGCATAAAGTTAACAGAAAGATCTACCACTTTGGTGGCAGCCTATTGGGAAGGACCCCTGTGAAGATGGAACTGGCAATTTCCCCACTTATGCTAACAGCCTGCCCTTGAGAACCTGTACCTCTGGAAAAAAGGCGCCCTGCCCAGAATTCCTGCTCCCATCTGGGGAAAAACAGCACTGTCTTTGAGATGTCTAAAGTCTACTTCTTCACTTTCTTCCCTCAGTTGGCTATTTTAGAAGACTACGCGGACCCATTTGATGTTCAAGAAACTGGCGAAGGCCCATCCGGAGCTTCTGCAGCCCCAGAGAAGGTGCCTGAAAATGATGGCTACATGGAGCCCTATGAAGCCCAAAAGATGATGGCTGGTGAGTGATAAGGAAGAGATGGGGGGCCAGGGGGTTCCCTCTCAGGCCTGGATATCTGCAGCACAGGTTCTGCAGCACACAAACCTAAGGACTGATTATTAGAAAATGGGAGAAAGCCTTTGCAGGCCCTTGGGGAGGGTGGCTAATAACTTCAAGATAGTTGTTTTGGGTGTGGCTTGGGGTATCTCAAACCTGAAGCAGTAGAGAAAGCCACACAGCCAAAGGTGAGACAGACAGAATCATTGGGGATAGTCAAGAAGGGTAAGATATTGGTACAGGCTGGAGGGTATGGGGCTTAGGGAGATGTCAAATTAATGATCCTTTAAAAAAATAAAGAATCACAGGCTTTGGGGAAGATGGTGAATTTGAAACGATGTGATATGTCACAGTGAAACCTCTTTGTGGTAATTGGAAGCACGCAACTAGAAATGCAGATGCAGTGTACATTAGATTGGGCAAATAGACCTGGCCCTGGAGAGCAGAGGCCAAGAGAGGATTCAGAGGAAGATGAAATGGGGGTGATCAGAGAGGAGCTCTGGGTGACTCATTCTAAGCCAAAGCCCCAGGGCATCATGAGGGAAGGTCTGTTCAGAGGCAAATAGTCTTAGTGCTGGGCAAACTGAAGAGCTAAGATGAGAAAAGCCTGGAGACCAGTAAAGGGCCCCAAAGACTGAAATGAGTTATTTGGACTTGCTCCAAAGAGGGGAAGGAGCTGTTATGAATTCTTGAGCAAGAGAGGAACAGGATGTATATGGCATTTTAAGAGGATTGCTAGGGATTTGGCCTACAAAACAGACTGGAAGAACTGGGCATCAGAAAGATGAGTTACCAAGCTGTTGTGGAGATTGTTGAGGATTTAAGGTGACAATACTAACACCCCTTTTTTCCCTTCCTAAACTTAGAAATAGTTAAGAAATAACATTAAGGAAATGAACCGGTGGAGATAATGTTAACTTCATTACTAAGAAAGGTAATTGGAAAATAGTAGTCAACTATGTCATTACATTGGGCTTTTTTTTTTTTTAAAGATTTATTTATTTATGCTTACAGAACAGGGGTACAGGCCAGAGGTGCAGTGGGTGAGAGGATTCATCAGAGACAGTGGGGAGCAGAACAGGCAGATCTATTGAGATACACTGCTGAGGGGAGCAGTGGGCAGGTCAGGAGAAGTCTGCTGTGCCATGTGGATCACCTCCCTGGCCGGGGATCAAACTTGTGCTGTAGTGGCTGCGGATAGCTTCACAGTGCTGTGCTTTAACCCATTGCTCCACCAGGGAGGACTTTACATTGGACTTCTTAAAACATTGCCACAGAATTAAACTTGGTCACCTAACCTTGGACAGCACAGTAGAGCCATAGCCTCTGCTTGGGGGCAGGAGGAGCAAAGACCAGAATGTTCTATCAGTAGGCAGATCTGAAAAAGAGAGTGAGCCTCCACTGGCTGACCAGATATTTGCTCTCCTTCCCTGGGCCATGAGGGTGAGGGGCAGAGTGGTCAGGGATGTTATTCCAAAGAGCCCATGGAAACATCAGACTGTACAATAAGGGTTGGCTTTAGCAGTAATCTAGGTATAGAAGAATAAGGGTGAAAGTCATCAGATATGGGCCACGAGCAAATGGAATTCAGAGAATGAAGAATGCCCAGGACTAGAGATGAGAGTGTAGTGAGTGGATGCAGAGAAAGCAAGGAAGCAACTATCCAATTTGGATCTGAAGGGTGCAGACTCCTAAGAGGTCCATGAATGTCCTGGAGGTATATGTGAAAATTTGTACATTTTTCTGGGGAGCAATTCCCTAGCTTTGAGCAGATTTTCATTGGCATCATTGACTCAAAAAAGAAAATCACAGCACAGATTAGAACTTTTGGGGGAAGTGGCAAGTTTGAGACATAAAAGTGAAACATTTTTATGGCAGTTGAAAGTAATAGGTGCAAAGAGTGCTTCCTCCAGCTTGTTTAAGAGTGAGGGCTGGAGGAAGGAAAAGTCCTTGTTGAGGGGAACAGACCAACAGAGGGCCCAGGGAGACCCCATTGGGGGTGACCAGAGAGGGCAGTCCATAAAAATGACTCTTCAAAGAGGAGTTTCAGGAAGGGGTAGTCACCTGTCTAAGCAACAGAGAAGGGTGTTTTATCTCTTGGGAAATAAGGAAATAAATAGGACTGAGTAGTAGCAAGAAGGTGGTGGACCAGGAGCGGCTCATGCTACAGTTTCCTAAACGTGTAAACCTCAGCTCCCAAGTCCTTGTCGGCCTTCATAGGATCTTTCTGTTGTCTCTCACTCTGGTGCCTCTCTGCCTTGCCTTCACTGGGTTGAATAATTTTGGAATCCTAGAGGTATTTTGAAGGTGAGGGTTCCCAGTGAGCAGCCACCTGGCTCCCCCAGAACCAGCAGCATCTCCTCTAAAGGAGACTTGGCTTGTGCTACGGAGCTGAGCCAGGCAGTCCAAGGGGTGCTCACGCCCCCCACCCCCTGTTGCCTTGCCCTTGCAGAGATCCGGGGCTCCAAGGACACAGCTGCTCAGCCCTTGCCTCTGTATGACACACCCTATGAGCCAGAGGATGAAGGGACCACTCCAGAGGGGGAGGGGGCCCTCTGGCCCTGGGAGTCTCGCCTGCCTGAGGATGATGAGAGGCCCCCTGAGGAGTATGATCAGCCCTGGGAGTGGAAGAAGGAGCGAATTTCCAAAGCCTTTGCAGGTGAGTCCTGGGTAGAGAGGATAGGCTGTCTACCATCTGGCAGCTTTCCAGGATGAGGGGGATAGAAAGGGTGGTCTCTGGGGGCCTTGGGGAAGCCCAGGAGCTGGGCTGAAGGAAACTTTAGTTAAGTGTGCTGAACTGTAGTGAAATCACCGCTCTAGTGGTGAGTAGGACAGTGTGGAAGCAGCACTGTGCAGAGGGCCTGGGGAGCGCACCGGAGGAAGAAAGCAGCTCCCTGCATCACCACCTGTCAGAGGCAAAGAGGCCTGGGGCACTTCTGCCTCTGGGTGGTTGGGTATATTTAAAAATAAAGAAATTCCAAACAAAATGATGAAGCTTGTGGCATATGTTAAGTACTTATAGTTAACAAAAGAAGGCATTTAAATCTTCAGAACAATGCAAACAACTGTATGTAACCTGAATTAGAGGGCTGTGCTTGTCTGTGTCAGACCAGGGGTGCCTAGCCCCTGGTGTTTTCTGATGAGTGGGGACTGGCGGAGAGAGACAGAGACTCTGTGAGAAATCTTTGCTGAATGAAAACAAGGTTTTTCCTGTACCAGGCACCCCAGTGTCTGTCCCAGTCAGGCCCAGAATCCAACGTGGTGTGTTGGTGGAGCAAGAGCAAGTAGCTGGAGAAAGCTTCAGCTTGATTCTGTGAGAACATGAAGGATTTAAATGCCATTAGACCTCATTCCCACACCCGTCTCCCCTCAACCCTCCTTTCCGCTCACCCCTTCTTGGGCAAGGGAGGTTGCTCAGCCTCTAGCTGGTCCCATTCTCTCAGCTGTGTCTTCCCCATACTAGCAGCCAGACCAGGAAACCACAAGTTTCTAATTTGTTTCCTGTAAGCACGCAGCACCATAGAGGATGGGCCGTTTATCTCCAGAAGTCTCCTTGGAGAATCAATACTGTTTGGATTGCTTAATGGGAAAATCTATGCTCGTCATTAGGAAACCTCGTTAGCAGCCCTGCAGCCGCCAGTGGCATCACTCTTCTAATTGTCAAGGCTCAGATTTAGGGGAGGAGGGGTAAATTTCAATAAAAGGTCTTCCCTGAGAACTCCTGACAGCTTGAAGTTGGGCTGTTTCATTCCTGCTGCAGAAGCTACTCCCCTCCTTTCCCCCCCCAGGCTTCAGGGCAAAGAGGAAGAGAGGTGTGTGTGTGTGGGGGGGGGAGTGGCCAGGAGGCTGTGAGAACTGGGTGTGGTGCTGGAAGGTGTGGGCAGCTCCTTGTTCCTCTTTTCCTCCTTCCCCAGTCCCTTTGGGCCCTGGAGGCTTGTGAGAGGTCAAATAAAGGGGACCCACAGGCTGGCAGAGAAAGACTCTGTATCCTGCTGCTTGCCACCTAAGCCTCCCACCCTTTGACCAGGCTGGCCAGTATGGCCCTGCCCAGCCTTCGACAGTCCTGTTGCCCCCTCAGAAGCCATCCCTGCCACTACTCTGACCTCTTCCTTTCTAGGCTGTCCTATGTCCTGACTTTGAGTTTTGGTCTCAACCTCTGCCTCTCTCTGTCTCTGTCACTGTCTCTCCTCTCCCTTCTGCTGCTGGCTCCAGTTGACATTAAGGTCATCAAAGACCTACCTTGGCCTCCGCCTGTGGGACAGCTGGACAGCAGCCCCTCCCTGCCTGATGGGGACAGGGACATCTCCGGTCCAACCTCACCCCTCCCTGAACCCAGCCTGGAGGACAGCAGCGGTGGGTCCTGTGGGGGCTTTTGACCAGGGTGACATGTCTTCTCAAGCCTCAGGCTCCGTGGGCTTGAGTTGGAGGAACTGAAGTGGGGCAGAGTTTGAAGAGCCTTACTACAGGAGGAAGAGGGAGAGAAAAAGCACGCATTTCTCCCTCTCCAAAACTATAGGAAAGGTGTCTCCTAAGGGAAGCTTCTTCCAAATAGCTCCCCCACCATGTCACAAAAATCCACTATTTTATTTTTTTAAAGATTTATTTATTTATGCTTACAGAACTGGGGTACAGGCCAGAGGTGCAGGGGGTGAGAGGGTTCACCAGAGACAAGAGGAGGGAGCAGAACAGGCAGACTGATGAAGTACACTGCTGAGGGAAGCCGTGGGCGGGTCAGAAGAGGTCTGCTGTGCCATGTGGGTCAGCTCCCTGGCTGGGGATTGAACTCATGCTGCAGTGGCTTCCGAAAGCTTCATAATGTGGTGCTTTAACCTGTTGCACCACCAGGGAGAGCCCCCCAAATCTACTGCTTTAAGTTCACTTCTTTAGCTTTGGCTGACCCGATCTTTCATCAATGCAAATCACTCCTGAGGTGGGTGGGAGTGATACAGGCACAGGTCAAGCCTACTTAGGGTAAAAGGAAGGATCTGATCTCATCTGGGGACTAAAAGACAGTAAGGGCGTGGAAGTGCTACCAGGAGAGAAAAAGGAGTTCAGATGAGAAGACAGGCATCCGTTTAGGTTTATCCGAAATGGGCACCAAAAGGGTGCTCACGTGTGTGCCTGTGCTTGCACGTGAGGGCACCTGTTTGCACATTTGTGCCTAAGTATGAACGAATCTTTCATAATAAGAATAAGGGAAAATCTCTGTCACTTGTGCATTTATGCTGTCTGTGGCCTGTCAGGCCTGGCCAGGCAAGGAAGGGAGGAGGCCAGGCTGTGGGTGGGGGAGGGGAGCCTGTGGGCAGCGACCTGGGGGCGGGGCAGGGTGGGCCTGCTGGCGGCTTTGGGCAGAATTAGCCTGTCAGAATGGCACAGGGGGAATCGGATAATTGTCGCAGATCGATAAGTCATTTCTACAGAATGGCTTGGCAGGGTGATTTGGAGAAGGGTAATGAACTCTGAGGAGGAGAAAGAAACAATATTATCAGCGCTGAAGCCACCCTGAGGGGGATGGAAGGCTGTAGGCAGCTCCAGAGGGAGAAGCTTAAGTGGTTTCTCAGGTTGCTTCTCTCCCACGTTGTGGGGACTGGGAAGCCCCTGTGGCATTAACGTGCTGCACCCCCCCCCCCCACTCCCAGGGCAGTAACCCAGGATTCAGGATTCAGGTCCATGAGCGTGCCTGCCCTTCCAGAACAGTTTCTTGACTCTTTTTGGCAGAATTGGGGTGGTCACTTGCTGGTCAGTAGGGCTCTACCTCTAGGGCCCTCAGAGTCCGTGACTGGTATATTCCCCACAGCCCAGTTTGAAGGATCTGAGAAGAGCTGCCTGTCACCTGGCCGGGAGGAGAAGGGGCGGCTACCTCCCCGACTCTCTGCAGGGAACCCCAAGTCAGCCAAGCCCCTAAGCCTGGAGCCCAGCAGCCCCCTGGGGGAGTGGACAGACCCAGCACTGCCTTTGGAAAACCAGGTGTGAGTGTCTGTGTCCAGCTGGGGACTCTCTCCTCTCCCTTCCCCTCCTGGCATTTTCTGGCCTGCAGGGGACACCCTCATGGGTGGGCCTGGACGGCGAGGACCCAGCAGAGATGCCCCCTTCCTCTCTTTGTCCTCAGCTGGTACCACGGGGCCATCAGTCGAACAGATGCCGAGAACCTGCTCCGGCTGTGCAAAGAGGCCAGCTACCTGGTGCGGAACAGTGAGACCAGCAAGAATGACTTTTCCCTCTCTCTCAAGTGAGTCGGGGTAGCTGTGGTGGGGGTGAGGGGGCGGGGGAAAAGGGGGCCAGCCAACAGGGCAGGAGGTTCTCCAGTATTGACCTTCCTCCCAAGCTGGGGATAACCCCAGCCCAGTGAACATTTGTCCACTCTGGGCTGGGCTCTGGGGGATCAGGAAAGGTCAGCATATCATCCCTGCTTTCGCAGAGCTTAGAGTTGGCAGAGGGAAATTAGAGCTGCAGCCTCCAGAGAGAAGGCTTCTGTCACTTACTGTGTGGCGTTGGCCCCCCCATGCCCCTCAGGACCTCCATTTCCTTATTTATAAAGTGGAAGGCTAATATCTTATAGGAAAGGATCAAATGAAATAATGTATGAGAAGCACAGCATGTTGCTAAGTGCTCAATAAATTACCACCGTTACTATCATTCATGGAAATCCAGGATGGTCTAGAAACACAGGCAAGGAGATAGCTGCTTTGCCTTGAGGGAATCTACTGGTTGGACCGGACCGGAGGCTGGGTCACATACTTCTTTGAATCTATTTTCTATCCAGAGATACATCTAGGAATGTGGTAGTTGGTTTGGAAGAGTATATATACTGCAAGAAGAGTATATACTACTTGAGGAAGGTGGAATAGTGGACCCAACGTTATTCTTAGAGAAGTGGGCAGGAGGGCTGGGTACTAATCACTGACACTGAGCTTTCAAGAGTTCTGGAAGAAGTAGGGCCCTCCCTTCCCATCAACCTTCCTCCCCCCAGAAGCTGATATGCACAGACCAGCGATGGCCTTTCCCAGCAGCAGGAACCTGTCTTCCCCTTGCACTCTGGGGTTCTGCCAGGTGGAGCCTGCACCCCTCCATGAGGCAGCCTGTCAGCATGATGTGTCCTTCCCCCATTACTACTGAGGATGCCTACTACTTCCTACTCTGTTCCCTGGGGGCATTAGAGTCCTCTCCACTTCACACAAAGCTAATATATGGAAATTTAGGGCTAGTAAACAGATACATTGGAGGCTAATTATTCAACTTCACTATATGATGATGGAAAAAATCATCAAAATATAGTTCGATATGACATGAATTCCATTCTGGAATTAATAAAACTCGTTATGTGATCTTAGGCAAATTACTTAACCTTTCTGGCCTTGCTCCTAAACCCTTTGCAAAATGTGTGGATAGATACCTCTTGGGTTTCTTCCATCTTCCATGCTCTGGGAGTCTGCAAATTATCATAAAACCAAAGGAACATTTAAGAAAATTTCATGTGTCAAAAATTTGAATTACATCACTTCAGGAAGGTGTATGGCTTTAAAACTTATAGTTAGAATTCATAGAGCATTTAGTCTGTGCCAAGCAGTATATACTCCTCTAAACCAACAACCACATTGCCACACATATCTCTGCATTATGTATAGAAAGTAGAGATTCAAAGAAGTATGTGACTTGCTCAAGGTTATCAGCTAAGTGCCAAAAGCAGTATCTGAACCCACCTCAGTCTCCATTCACGAACCACTTCCATTGCGCAGCTCACTGAGTCTGGTACTATAACAGATACAGATTTCATGGACTCTGTTCCCACTCTCACTCCGGGCAGAGTCCATGAAACCTGTATCTGTTACAGTACCATACAAGGTCAGGAGAGACCCCAAAGGTCTGACTCTTAAGAGGTCAGCAGGCAAGCAGGATCCAGCCAAGCTCACTAACCGGCCTTAGTCTAGAGAGCAAAAGAGGGAGGCAGGGCTGGATACCAGCTCCAATCCAGGCTGCTCTGGCCCCGCCAGCATCTGTCTGCCAGAGCCTCGTTTGCATATAAATGGTTTTACTGAAATACAATTATGGTTTCTCTTCTCTCTGTAATGGAAGGGCTTTCAGTGGTAATTAAACAGCTTCCTCAAAAAAGCTATGCCAGCCCTGGCCCTGTGGCCCAGCTGGTCCCACCCTGGCTCCTTGAGGGCTGGGTAAGAGTTCTGCTGGATCTTAAGTCCCATGGGACTTCATCCCAGGAGGTTGGTTATACAGATGGAGACTGGGCTGTCAGCTTCCACCTCAGCTCACTGGCCACTTGTTGTTCTTCTTGGCCAGATCTGCTCCTCAGTGGGGAAGATAGCACAGCTTTCGAGAGAGGTGATTCGCCCAAGTAGACTGTGGAGAAGGGAATGTCCCCAAACTGGGAAGGGGGTAGACTAAGGGGGGGGGGGGCACAGCCTTGAGCCTGGGCTTTAGCAAACAGCAGACCAGGGAAGATAACCACACACTGCCTCCCTCGGCCCAGAGGCTGAACATTTTCCTCGGCTCTTGGCTCCTTTTCTAGGGCCTGTGTGGTCACTGTCAGCCTCAGCTGTTATCTTCACCCTACAGATGAAGGGTGATCCCTACACCCTGACACACCCAGCCCTGGAGCCCCCAGCAGGCTTCCAGACACAGTACCTTAAGGGTGGGGTGAGTGGAGTTTAGGGTCTGTTTTATCCTCCCCTCCCATTCTTTACTTTAGACTTCCCACTCTCCCCATTTTCTTACTTTTAGGCCTAGAAATAGGGTCAGAACCCTCTTTATACCCAGCCAGGGAAGGCAGCTGAGGGTAACCAACCTCAAGAGTGAGGGCCTTATACTGAAGGGGTTCCCCCACCACTGCGTCCCACAGTGGCTTCTAAGTCTTTTCCTTGTCCCCTTGAAAGGGAGTCTGAGAAGCAGCAGACAAGAATTTAGGGTTAGTATTCCCCCACAAATTGCTTTCCTCCTAGCCTCTGGGTGAGTTTTAGACCTGCACCCTGACCCACTGAGCCTGTAGTAGTTTGAACAAACATTCTAATACACAGTATTCTAGGGCTGAGGGTGTCAGGACATCTGAGAACTGGCTAGAATTCTTGAGCAGGGGTTTCTTATCCTGTGGGTAGGGCCAGGCACTAATGCTGATGTCCTGGATTGTGGTGGGGAGAGGGCAGTGAGTGTGTTCTCTGAGGAAGGGACTAGAGCCACAGTCTGGGGAGCCAATGGTCGCCCCAGACTGAAGAGGAACAGGGGCTTGGCCCTAGTCCTGGATAGCAGGAGGGTGAAGGCATGGCCTAGCTGAACATTCCCAGATTTTGGAGGGGCTTCTGGAGCAGCTCTCCCCTTCCCCTATTCTCTGCAAAAGCCTCCCTTACTATCTTATCACATGTCTAACCACTGACCTGCCAAGAGTATCTGTGTTGCCACCAGGAGGCCCCCACAGGTAATGGCCCCCATACCTCAGAGACCATAGGCAGGACATCAGAGGGGTGGGAGGTGAGGGGTAAGAGATGAGTTATTGGTATCTCTAGTACCACCTGCACACACCCTAAGTACTCTACATACATTCTTGGCCTCTCTAGTGCTCTCACCACAGTAGGCTAATGCCAGCTTCTACCTGTTCCAAAAAAATCCCCTCTGCCTGCTTCCTGCTTTCTGAACTGACTTCCACCTTCTGCAGTTACCTCTCTCTTTCAGCTGGCTTAGCCTGAAGTCGGGGCAGAGAGGAGGACTGGAGAAGAGTCCCCACTCACCAGGTTTCCTCTCCTCTTCCTAGGAGCAGTCAAGGCTTCATGCACATGAAGCTGTCCAGGACCAAGGAACACAAGTATGTGCTGGGTCAGAACAGCCCGCCCTTCAGCAGCGTCCCTGAAATCGTGCATCACTACGCCAGCCGCAAGCTGCCCATTAAGGGGGCCGAGCACATGTCCCTGCTCTACCCCGTGGCCATTCGGACTCTGTAGATGTGAGGCCCCAGCGCTGCGGGTCTGGACCCAGCCCTGTGCCCATTCCCTGGCTGAAAGCTGTGGCCCTTCCCGGGACGTGATTTCCCGAACCTTTCTTCCCCTCTCCCTGGTACTGAATGGGAGCTGGAGATTCCTTAATTTATTGTAAAGGGGAAGGGCTAACAGAGCCTTGGTGTAAAGGGTAGTCTGGAGCTGAGGATAAAGAATCCCTGGGGAAAGGCTAGCCCAGGAAGAAAGGGGCTTCAGAACCCTTGGTCTCCCAAGGAGTTTAAGATCTGCAGCTCCGGCCCCTTTCTGCCCCTAGGGCGGAGGTGGCGATGCCTCCACCTTCCCCCTGGGTCTACGCGGGTGGAGCTGGACGCGGCTCGCGGGACGCCTTGACCATCTCGCCGCCTCTACCACAAACCGCCAGCGGACTCGGCCCAAACTCTGTTGCGGGGCTTGGGAGAGGCACTGAGGGTGGGGAGAGGGGAAGGACCGGAGGAAACTTGTGCAGTCTTCGGCCACCCCGGCTCCCGGCCAGAGGCAATAAATAAACCCAGTCCTGCCAGGCACAGCCGCGTCCGTCCGCACCTCCAGCGCCGCACCCGGGGCTGACGGGGAGGGAGCGGCGAAGCGAGCACAGATTCTGTTTATAAATCAGCTCTGGAGCAGACACAGGCGGGCTGTGAAAAGCACTTTCGAAGCATCAAGTTCTTTCCTTTGACGAGATGTCAAAACATCCTCCGCCGCCCCCGCCCTAGCTGGGGGCACCCGGAGGCAGCGGGCCGCGGGGCGCCCCCTCCCCTGCACGTCGACGAGCGCCGCTCCCCAAGAGCGTGTCCAATTTCCTGCCAACAGCCATTTGTCTGGGAGGAGGGGAGCCGCTGAGAGACAAAGAGGCAGAGCGCCAGGCGGGAGGGAGCGGGGCGGCCCTGCCACGCGGAAGCCGCGCTCCCGCGGAGGCGGGATAGCTGGCGCGGTGCTCTGCCTTTCCTTTCCAGAGGAAGCAGGGTCCGCCGCGCCTCCCCCAGCCCTCGAGGGATGGGTCCGGCCCCCCGAGGCATGCAGCCTGAAGGCCTGGGTCGGGACCTGCCCCCGCCTCCCTCCCGCGCCAGCGCCAGCTTGCAGCAGTCCGGTGGGGCTGTTCGCGCTCGACCCCTGCTGGCCAGGCCTGGGGCTCCAGTCCCTAGCAATACCCACAGGGCCAGCAGGCGGAGCTGCTGTCCAGAGCCTCCAGGCCCGCCCTCCTCCCAGGGCTCGCTGACAGACTAGACTGCCTGACAGGCTGCCTACACCCCTGGGAGGGCAGTGTGGGAGCTTGGATTTTCTAATCTACTGGCTATTTTATCGAAATGTGATCTCATATAAGAATTCTGTGGGGACAGCTGAATTTGGGCATTGCTTCAGAAAGTTCCTCACAGAGTGCTGCCTGTCTTTAAGTAGACCTGGAGGGTTTCCATTTTACAAATAAGAAGAGAGGCTCAAAGAAGTTAGGTGATGCTCATCTTTCTCCTCATGTGTCATCTAGTTACATTTACCTGAGGACATGCATAGTTCTTACACTACCTGGGGAGGCCCAAGGTGTCAGGAACTACACCCATGAGCAGGGAAAGGGGTCTCTTGGCTGAGAGACACTTGGCTGTGGGCAGTGTCCTTTTCTCAGTGGACACTGGCAAGCCCAGAATATCTGGGCCGGCCTCAGTGAGGGGCTTCCCCTGCCAGTACAGTACCTACCAAGCCCTGGGGCAGAATAAAGCAACAATGAGAGCAGAAACGTGATTTATTAGTAAAGGACCCAGATGGAACTAGGACAGAAGGGTTGAGGAGGACTCACTAAGCTAAGTTCTAATCACAGTGCATATGTGAGAATTTGAGAGGTCATCGTGCTGTTAGGCTGGGATGCTGAGGGGGTTTCTATAAACTGCTCTTTTCTATAAACTGCCTCTACCCCCTCCAAAGCATTTACTGGCCCTTTTGTCAGTGAGGGAGGAGTTCTAAGATGCCAGCATCTGTGCTCCCAGTTCATCCTTATGCGCGCGCACACACACACACACACACACACACACACTCGTTTAACACCTATCTTGAATTTTTGTCATAGTTTGTAAGAAGAGGTGTCACTTTGTCCCCAAACAATAAAAGCTCTCCTCTAGTTCCCACCCAGTGCCTACCACTTCTCCATGCTGACTCACTCTGGGCCTGAGGGTCCCTAAACCCACATGGAGTGACTGGCCATGGCCACCTGGACCAATATTAAGACATGAGAATGGGAAGTAGGCTGAGGGAACCAGAAACAAGATGAGATGCAGTCCAAACTTCTGTTCAGTTCAGCAGTGGGTGAAGCCCCAGTCATGAGGCCTAGAAGTTCTCATAATGGTGGGAGAAATGAGTCCGGTCTTGCTTATTAATGAGCTGACAGGCTTTTTCCACATTCTTTGTCATGCCAGGGGGACCACAGCTAAACACCCCAATCTTTCGAACCTGTTGGGAGATATAGAAGTAAAGGCTAGTGAGGGCTCTTCAGAGGGAAAGCTAGTTCCATGTTCACCTTCAAGACCTGAGAGAGTCTCGATGAGGATTCATTCTGTGTTCCTGATAGTTTGCTTCCTACCATGCATGGTGACAGCTGGCTCAATATTTACCAGTCTAGCCCAAAGGCATTTACCAGCGTTAAGTGCCAGATCAGTTTTCTTATAGAAGCCAAACTAATCAGTACTCAAGTTAAGGGATAGCTTAGTGTCTTGGTGAGGCTTGCCAGCCCAGTGCTGAGAGTACTGCTAGCTCAGAGTTCAAGGTGCAGATTAGTTCAGGGTCCAGCTTGAGGGCTGGCTCCATAGTAATGGTTTATGGTGAGGACTAGCTCAATATTGGGTTTCTCCTGGACAGACATCCTATCTTCAATGGTAGCAAGTCCCTGTCATCTGCCTCCTCACTCCCTCAAGGTGAGCCCTACCTCTCCTGTTACTTCACCATCTCTCGGGGGTGGGATCTCAGCAGAAGTCAGTTCCTGCTCTGATAGAGCAGATCTAGTTGCTTTGCTCAGACCCCAGATGATAATGTTACAGAGAACAAGAAAGGTGAGACTGACCTGTGGATGAACCTCCTGCAGAGAGTTGAAGAAGGGCTCGAAGGGGGGGCGGCCAAAGTGGGTGACAGAACGCAGACCCGTGAATAGACTCCGGTTCAGCACCTTCTGGAAGTGCCGCTCACAGATGTACTGGGGGCACAGGGACAGGCCAAGTCAAGGATAATCAGAGTCAGGGACTAGTCCCAAAGTCAGCTGCAGCTCAACAGACAGAGGCTGGGGTGGGGAAGAAGCTGGATACGGAGAATAAGGGCCACCAGCTCTGCCAGCTGAACCTGGTATTTAACCACCCGCTCTGATCATCCTTCCTTAACTGCCAACCTATATACCCATTGAGCTACCCTGGCTGGCCCTGACATACCAGCATGGTGGTCCTGAGGTCAAACTTCTCTGCCAGCTGAGTGATATAGATGTGCACTGACACCAGGTCCCGGTGGTCGTTCTCCTCCACCTCCCGGATGATGTCAGCCAGCCACTCGAACTGCCGCTGGGTCCGTGTCACCCAAATGAAGTAGATCTGGGGACACATGGCTGGAGCTTAAGATCCAGGTCACTCAGGCTCCCTGTATCCCAGGGATCTCCACACCAATAGACTGATTCTGGTCTTGGCCAGCTTGTGCCTCTCCCCAAACAGCCTTGGATGAGAGGCAAAGGGTCGCTTAGACTACCACAATCGCCACCTACCAACTACCCAGAGGGGAAGGCCTGCTAAGTAGCATCACAGAAACACTTCAAGGACTTCCCAAGTGGAGCCAGGAACTTGGGAGTTGGCTCAGGAACCAAGGACACCCACTTCAATTCTCATGGGGAGAAGTGGGGCTGTGTGGGTTAAGGAGCAGAGGCACAGCTGGCAGGGACAGAAAAGGAAGGAGCTGTCTGTCATCCTCTGCATGCTGACGGCATATAGGTTGGGCCTCTGCCCGTCACATTCCTGTGCCCCTGACTCACCTGCCAGGCCCAGAGAAACAAGCAGAAGCCTGCCACCAAGGCCAGGCTGGGGTGAAGGGACCCACTGTGGAGAGGGCCTGAGGGCCTGGGCTGTGTTTCTGGGGTGAACCTGGCCCACCAGCCCTGTCTTGCTACCTCCCCTCTTCAGAGCCAGTTTCACTTCTGCCCCACCCAAAACATGCCCTTCCCTCTACCAACCCAACAGTGTATCTCCTATGCCAAGTACCCCATAACAGGGAAGGATTCTGTGTAAACCAGGCAAGTCTTCCTTTAGGATCTGGGGACATCGTGACCCCTCCCTGGGGTCAGGCCAATTTGGCTTTGTCCAGATCAGGGAGGTCAGATGGATGGTGATAGGGAGCAAAGGGCCATAGCCTAGTTGGTATAAGGCCACTCACCTTCTTACAGAACACTTGGCAGCTAACTGATGACTTGAAGACCAGGTCTTTGAGGATGGAGGCAAAGGGGGTGACCCCAATGCCCCCTCCCACCAGCACTGACACCTCAAACTTATGCCATTCCTGGTGACCCTCTCCAAATGGTCCATCGAGGTACAGCTGCAGGGAATATAATGGGCTTGAGTTAAGTTCAGCCCCACCTTGGTTTTAAAGCCAGAAATAGGAAGTAGGGAAAGGTAGCTAGGTTTATGGCATGAGGGGTGCAATCAGGGCTTGTGGCATTAACTGGAAACAACCAGTGTCTGAATGATGAGGAACATGGTGGGAGTCTGGCACTGCAGGGCCAAGGCAGGGGATGTGGAAACATGTGGAACATCTGGCTGCGCCTGGGCACCTTTGGGTATCTGGCACAGCTGTCGCTCGTCGGGGGTGAGTAGATCTCCCTGAGGCGAGTGGTCCAGGGCCCTGCTGCTCGGATGTGCAGGCTGAGTGTGTCCTCATGGGGTGCAGAAGTCAGTGTGAAGGGATGGTACTCGGTGGTCCCCAGAGCCAGGCAGGCGATCCGCACCCACTGACCTGACTTGTACTCAAAGCCTTGGGGTCGCTGGAACCGCAGGTGGGTCACTCCTGAGGAGGGGATGTTGCTATATTGGAGCCAGTGACAATATGGCCTCCATAGAGTGCCCCCACCTACATCGTCAGCTCTGCTTGAGAATATAATGGGGCCCCTCCCACCATCAGAAATCATTACTCCCTTTGGACATGTCCACTCTGAGGTCTAGGTAGCACTGGGACCCGTGGTCAGCAGGGCAAAGTGTAGCTGGCCAGGACTGTTCCTGAGAGAGGCTCCGGTCCCCTGGCTAAAAGCATCTCTTACCTCTTTTTTGCCACCCCAGAGTCCCTGCCAGTTCTACTGGGCAAGGCCAGGAGACTGCAAGGTCCCAACTCTGCCCCGTCAGCTTCTTCAGGACCACACAGCTGGTCCCCTGACAGCTGCTAAGCTGGTACCTGAAGGCAACAGCTCTGCTTTCACCACGCTGATCTCCACTTTCTTCCGGCTCAGGCTCACCAGCTTGTCGCCCCCATAGATGAGTGCTGGGACCAGGAAGAAAATGTGGAAACGGGGCAGCTGGATCA